CTTGTTTGTCATTTGCTGCAGGTGGAAGAGGGATGGAAGTGGCAATAAAATTGCTCATCCAGTTACTGGCAAAAACATCTTACAGTTCGTAGCTATCAAGAGAAGAGACTGTGGGGAGTGGGCCATTCCAGGGGTAAGAGCAAAGCTCTGGAGACGTTAGACATTTTCCTGCTGGTAAGGCCACAAGGCGAAAAGTGGCATGCATGTGATAAAAGCGTGTTTTTTGATGAATGACCTCATGTTGCAAAGTTGAGGAGAAATGCTCCTTAAACTATCTTTGCCCAAGCATCAGCTGGTATGCCTTCTGCTGTTTCTGCATTTCAAGGTGGTGTTCTTATTTAATTCTGACCATGTCTTTTGCTTAGTGCAGGCACAATTTAATCCATTGCAGATCTTGAAGGACGTGCAATGCTCACTCTTTACAACTAGGTTTAAAGTTCCTCCCACGTCCAGAGTATGTTGCAGATGGATGTAAGTCAAAGGGAGTTAAAAACAAGTGGAATCTGAGGGATAGTCACTTTTTTTCTTTCCCCCTCTCTAAGGGGATGGTGGACCCAGGGGAGAAGATTAGTGCTACCCTGAAGCGAGAATTTGGGGAGGAGGCCTTGAACTCCTTGCAGAAATCGCCTGAGGAGAAAGCGGAATTGGAGAAGCAACTCCACAAGCTGTTCAGCCAGGAACACTTTGTGGTGAGCTCTGTGTCTCTTGTGATAGCCTCTTGAGCTATGCATGCAACTCACAGTTACACGGAACTTGAAAAGGTGTAGCTGAAATGAAAAGAAGCTGTTTTGTTTTGGTTGTCATGGTGTAGGAAATGGAAGGGACTATTGAAAACTCTCTTAAGGACAAATGTGTCAGAGGTAAAGAAAATACCTTCTTACTAACTCCACCTTGTTTGTTGTGACACCGACCTTGTTTCTGGTTTGTTTGGCACCTTAGGTGTACAGAGGATATGTGGATGACCCTCGTAACACTGATAATGCTTGGATGGAGACAGAAGCGGTAAACTATCATGATGAAACTGGTAGGAATCTCCATGTGTGCTCTTAGTTGCCTTTCACTCTATATGTTGGTTTGAAATTGGGACATATGTTGGGCTGAGATTGGCAATGAAATTGGGGGAGCATGCAAGTCAGGTGTAAAATATTGGACTAAAACCAATGGGTATGAGGGTCTCTTGTCTCCTAAGATGTTCAGCCATGACAGGTAGTTGTTGTTCCCCTTTAGTTTCTGTCAGTCTTGAAATAAGGAACATACAGACTTTGCCTGAAAATTACTTATTCATTTGTTAGCTAGTTCTAAGCTGTGGGCCATGTGCCTTCATATGGAGATTGAACATTGGACAAGGGTTCCTTCTTCTCACTGTATTTATCTTGAGTTGGTTTAATTTCTCTTTTTAATGAGTCTGGAGTGGAAGGGTAGTCTGTTTCTTTTGTTATTTTTCCTTCAGGAGCATTGTCTCTGTCCGCTGGCATATTTTCACTGCATTTATTGCTTTGGTGTTGTAATTGTGAGACCTTTTATCTTGGTTACTCTGCCAGAGTAATTGTTGGACCTTATTTTACTTGTGTAAATCAGTAGGAATGGGCATACATTGCTCATTCTTTGATTTATCTTAAAAGGTGAGAGATGAGAATCCAAGATAACAGATCAATGTATTCATATAGTGATGTTTCCACTGTAGATACCAGTGGTGAAGTGTCACATGTCCTGGATTTATCAGCCCCCAGAAACAGTGAAGATACTATTCCTTTGGTCTTTGTTTCTAATACACATTTTGTAATACTTTTAAAAGCATTTCTTTGGTTGTTGTCTGTAAAGTCCTGGGACTCTTTTTGGAAACAGAGTAAGAAACTTCTGAGAGCAGTTCAGAAGCCTTTCTGCATCCCTCCTTAAGTACTATTTTTGATTTTGGGGCCTTTAGTAAAATTTTAATTATTCTGGTTTTCCCTAAGCATATGTTTCAGAATTCAGTTTGACCTGTAGAATAGCATCTGAGAAGGGAAACAACCAAATGTTAGCCAAACAAACAAAAATCAAGGCAAAGGGATTGGCTAAACTTGTGGTAGTGAGTACATGTTGTTTTAATGATTTCTAATAACTTGCTGTGCTGCTGATGGTACCCTAGGAGTGGTGACAAGGAGTTAACACCACCTCTGCCACTCAGGTTTGCCTTAAAATAGTGCAAGTATGAAAAAGGTTTCTGTCACAGAATCAGTGAGCAGTTTAATTGGCTTCTCTCTGAGAAGCAGTTGAAGGTTGTGGCCTGTGAAGGAGCCACACGGAAAGGCAGAACTGATCAGATGTGAGGG